ACACAAAATGTCACCACGCTATTGAACCCATTGTTTCCTAACCAAATCCCAGTTAGAGTAGGTAATTATTGAAAGATCGATTTTAAAACTACAAAAACTTTGCTAGAAATACCTAACAGTTTCTATACCATTAGATGTTAAATTGTTGATTTGATCGCTTGTTTGTTATCTGTTGGGTTTTTTCTTAATTTAATACAAGAAATTAAATTACCTACCCACATGCTACATGAAGTCTTCTAAAATTGGCATGCGGTTCATGCGGATTAAAACTCGAAAGGATGAAATTTAAATAAATAACAACGATAACCCGCATTATCAAAATTATAAATTCAAGTTGATGAAAACCGAAACGTCGAATTTTTGAAATAATATCACCACATTGGACCCCACCCAGAAGTGCTCCAAGAAAATTATTTCGATTTTTGTCTTTTAGTACAAGCGGTACGTAAAAAAAAGTAACTTTTCTTGCAGAGAGCATACCGCTCTGCAGGTCTAGTGCGGAGCTTCAATCAAAATGGCGGTCTTTGAAGAAATAAATAAAAAATAAATCTAAATTATTTCAATTCTGCCGAGTTTGGCGTCATTTTCATACAAAAAGAGGTCACTGCGATCAACCTTGAAGTAAAAAATATCGCGAGATTACTAGTTTCAGTCCCACAGCAATAAAAGAAGGTAGTTTTGATCCTAATGCAATCCATTTGCCGTCAACCGTGTAAAATTTGTTTTATTGCTCATAAACCAATAAAACTTGTTATAAGTGAAGAAGAGTTACGGAATTCATCAAATAATGAGGTACCAGATCGAACAGACAAGTCAAGAAATGACAGATCCGACAGAAAATGAGCATAGAACAGTACAAGAAGATCAAACTGAAATAAGAAAACAACTCAGAGAGAGAACAGAGCTAAAAAAACCTGTGTTCGTTTGGAGGACCATGTAATGACAGTTACTGCAGAAATAGGCGAACCACAGGAGCCACCAAGCTAGAGACATGCTACTTGCAATGATAAAGACAACTGGATTTTGGCAATGGATGAAGAAATACAGTCACTACAAGAAAATTGTACTTGAGAGGTTAAGACGTTACCACCAGGAAAGAAGGCAATACCATGTAAGTGGGTATATGGTGTATATTGTCCGTCGTTTTTAATCTCACAGTTTCCGTAAGACGAGCGAGGGAGTGAAACATATGGCAAAAACAGAGGTGTGACGTCAGGTGACCATTGGCGTTCTAATGTAGGGTGATACCAGCTCGTATTCCTTCCGAGTATCAGATTAAAATCGACGGACTTTAAAGTGAGGAACAATCCAGATGGGTCCATTGACAAGTACAAAGCTGGGCTAGTTATCAAAGGTAAATCACAAGGAAAAGGTGAAAAATACGACTAGACTTACAGTCCTGTAGCTAAGGGAGGAACAAGTAGGTCACTGCTCAGTATTGCTGCTAGCAAGAATATGACACTCACTCAGTTCGACGAATGTACTCCATTTCTCTATGGAAAACTAAATGAATAAGTCTATATGAGGAAAATCAAACCAGTATACTTCGAGCAAATATATTTAGAGTTGCTTGAAGTACACTGGTTTGATTTTCCTGATTCTTCGACGAGCAACACCACAGCCACTCACTCGACTTTAATAGTCTATATAAAGCAACCAGAGGGGTATGAAGATGGAAGTAACATGGTCTGTAAACTTCAGCGCAGACTTCATGGACTAAAACCAGCACCTAGATGTTGGAATCTATAAGATTTACCGATTACATAGGAGTTCTTGGTTTTAGAAGATCAGATACGGACCCCTGTTTCTTTATAAAGAAAGTTGAAGTGAAGAAGACACACTTCTACTAGCATTATATGTAGATGATGGACTCCTGGCCTCAACCAACGACAAATTGAAGGGTTCCTTCTTAGAAAGTTTACAAAGAGAATTTCAATACCATTAAACCAGCGTCTTATTTTTTGGGCTTAGAAATTAGAAGAACTAAAAATGGTGCAGTAGAAGTAAATAAGCCAAACAGCTTATACAAGAAAAATTCTTGATCGCATTGGAATGCAAAACTGTAAACCTGTATTGACGCCAATGGTGAAAGAAGGTGTACAGTTAGGAAGGAATGATGAAGAATTGAACAGTGAACACTACAACTACATTTCCATGTAGAAAGGCTGTTGAGGACTTAATGTATTTGATAACAAGCACTCGACCAGACATTGCCTATGCAATAAGTGTTTTTTTTCCCGGAAACAACACTAACGAGAATCCCTCATACAGAGAGGTTGAGAGAGGTAAAAGAATTTTACGTTACCTAAAATGTACCATTGTGATTGGTTTGATATACAAACCTAAAGAAATTAAAGCCTTCAGTGACGCAGACCATGGTGACAATGAAGCCACAGGACGCTCAACTTCAGGAGTTTTAAGTATGTTCGCTGATGGGGCAATCACATGGCTAAGCCAAAGACAGACATCAGTTTCCATATCAACGATTGAAGCTGAAATAGTGGCGGCTAGCGAAGCTGCTAAGGAAATTGTGTGGATAAAACGCTTCTTTCCCAGGGCTGAAAGTTAACAACCAAGCTGTCCAAGCTGCAATTAGATTGATCCAGAATCCTAAGTTCAATCGAAGAAACAATGTGAATGTGTTTTCACATCAGACACTTATTTGTCTGTGAGCTGGTACCTATTTATTACATGGCCGAATAAAAGTTGAAAAAGCCTCGTTTGAGAATCAACTTGCGGATCTTATGACAAAACCATTGTTCAAGCTAAGACTTCAGTTTTTAGAGGCACAATGCGATTGACCAAAATTTTCCAATGAGGGAGGGTGTTGAAACTAGAAGTTAGAACACAATGTTCGATTTTGGCAATCTTACATACATTTTTGTTTTATTATTTTTGTTGGTATGACAGCTTGTCAATAAAGAAAATCGTCATCAAATGTATCACACTTTTCATTCTTCAAAGTCCTAAGATCCGTTCTAAACAATTCAACAGTGCGCATTTTCATGATACAATAGTGTATAGTGTCAAATTTGACTTGGATTGAGAATTTATTGGTTCAACGGTTATAATAATAATAGCACTTATTCGGCACCAAAGTGGTCTTTTATCACAAAATTTTAACGGTTCAAAGGACAAAACATAATCGCAGTCTTCGGAATGTTCCGGATATTTTCGGAAGAATTCGCAATTTTCAATTCTTCAAATTTTAAAACGGCATTTTGTTAAGCATCAAAATACGCAACTTTGCCATGGTTTAATCGACCCTGTATCGCTTACGGCTTCCAAGATCCCAATAATGAAGCTCGAATTTTGGTCACCTTGTAGGGTACTTTACTCGTAGTCGTATCTACTCGCAATATTTCGAATAACTTTGAGACTGCTACCAAATTTGCAAGAACGTTTGTTTTTACAGTTTTGGGGTTGAATTTTCCCCTTTCAGCCCCTTACTAAACATGTGCTTTTCTGATATTTCATCCGTATCTGCTCCATCAATATTTCGACTATCTTTGGAGCTGCTATAAGAATTTTCAAGGAAGTTTGTCTCTTTTCTGATGTCACCCAGGGGCGCCCTCACCTAGATGACCCAGATCGACTCAAATAAATAATATTTCCACCAGGGACGTCTCTGGGGGTTTCGGCCGCCCTGGGCGAACTCTTTGAAGCGGCTGCCTCCCCAGCCTATGACACGAAATTTTAAGATTCCAAGAAAAAAAGCAAGCAGTGGCAAAAAGGCTGTAAGATAATAAAAACTTCACTAATTTTGACGTTTTTGACAGTTAAAAAATCAAAAGTACAGCTTCACAAGCCTATATCAAGAAATTTTAAAATTCCAAGAAAAAAAAACAAACAGCGGCAACGCTGTAAAATAATATAAACTTCGCTTATTTTGACGTTTTTGACCAATGAAAAATCAAAAGAACAGCCTATAAGGAACACGAAATTTTGACATTCCTAGAAAAAAGACAAACATTCAATAATTTGACGTTTGATACACGCATAAAACGTCAAATTGTCAAAGCAATGTCAAAAAAAGAGCGAATTTCGTGGAAAAAGAGCGAATTTCGCGCAAGTGAGATTGAGGCATAAGACGGCCCTGATTTCCACTAACTTTTGGTGCTGCTACTGTTACAAAATTTTTCAAAAAAGTTGGTCGGGATAGAGTCCTTTTTTGATATGTCACTCGGATCTTCTTAAGCAATATTTTCACCATCTGGTGCGACAAAATTTTTGATAGGTACCTATCTGATTTCATTTACATTTTTGCAGAATTTATCCCGTTCAAACCCGCATTGGACAAGTGATTTTTCAGTATGTGACGTAGATAACCTTTAATAATATTTCCAGCAATGATGTTACAGGTTCCAGTACAGAATCTTCTAGAATAGCTTTTTTAATTCATATTATTTGTGGCTCTACTTATTTGGTCGACTGTAAAAACATTTCTCCTGACTTTGCTAATTTCAACGACGTAAAATAATAAACTCTAATCAGAGAGCGTGTGGTAGGTAATTTTTTTCAAGATCAAGAAACTTCTGATGAAAATTTCAATTGAGGTGTAAGTAAATTCCAAAAAATGCAACGTAGGTACCTAATATTTAAAAAAAAAATCCACCTCAAACATACAGGCATTTATCATAAAACCTTGTACTTTTCATAAATAATAATATCAATTCTATGATAATTTTTTTATTTAAATCATCCCACGTGAGATTTTGGCGTATTTGGCAACACCGAGGCTCGAAAAAACGAAAATCATACGATTCCATCCAAATCCCCATTGCCATAACAAAAGACCCGAGGTCTGATCCAACCGCATGGCAGAACTGCCGTTTTTCTGACGCCGAGCGCTAAATTCGAATAGTGCGCACGAAATCTATTTTTCTCGATTGGATTTCGGAACTCGGAATTGGTGGAACAAGCCCCGAAAAAAAGCAAAAGCAAAACGTAGATTTTAAACGGAGGATCGGCGGCCGTAACGTAGCGTAGGACTGTAGAGTGCGCACGCCAAACGGTCTACGTGACTCGAGGGACACCAAAACAACGGCTTCCGCTCCCCACCCCGACACAGCAGCCCAACTCTACCGTCCAAACCAATCCATGCTATGCCCTCGTCTCGCCGTCGCCTCGCTCCGACTCCGCAGTCGGAATTTTAACATCAAAGGAACGAGTGTGCGATACGATGAGTGTATAAACCAGAACGAATTTTTCTTTGTGCCGAATTAAATTTTTAAGTGTACCGGTCCGGCCGTTTCATAATTTTTTTTGCCAAAGCAATAGCACGGTTTTTATTTCTACCTTTTTTTTCTAAGAAATTTTTGTTTTCCGTCAACAAATAAATTCACCAAAAATTACATCATCATGGTCGAGAAGATAATCGAAGAAACGGAAAACTACGAGACAGGTGCGTACTTAATACATAGAATTTTCACATTTATTAGTATTTGTACAATGGCACACGGTTTTAAGGTGGCTGTGAATTGGGAATAGGGATACAATTTTAAAAGTTTTTCTTTGTTCTCAATGTTTATGTCTGTCAAAAGTTTGTCAACAAACCGAAAAGTGACAGTAAAAAGACAGTTAATAGCAAAACAAGCACAGCGTCACTACAGCGTGATTGTTGTTCCCTTTAAATTTAATGATTTATTTCAAATTATGATATGATATGCTATACTAATTTCCCAATACATACTAGTCACACATAGTAATGACTAGTAATGAGTAATTTCACATTAATATATGTTTTACATTTTTTAAACCCGAAAAATACATAAATTCCTGATGTTTCAAAATAATTTTATCTTATTGCATGTTTAATAATACTAGCAATATCGCGTTTATGGTTATTACTGCATATTATATAGTGGGTGAAACGTGAAACTACCCTCACTTTGATTTCATTGAGCAAACATTTTTATGAGAATTAAAAAATTGATTTTTTCAGAATTTCTTTAGCTATCTACCTTATCAGAGAAGCTGAAAGGAATAGGTAGATAGGAAAAAAATCAGAAAATTAAAAAATAAAACATGTTTTTTATTTGCAATTATAGGTACAGTAGAAACCCGGTTATCCGAAGTAACGTGGGGGGGGGGGGGGGGTACCCACCACGGATAGCTGAAAACTCGGATAATCGGAATGTACATACACGGTGTCCCAAGAAAAACAGTCCACCCCTATTTATTGGATTTGGGATGAGAATCTGGGAAAACGCTAGGACACGTCGATCTTTGATTTGAGGGGGAACTATTTTTCAGTTTTTTTCATCCCCGTAGTTTTTGAATAGGGGATAGCGGTCATGTCATACGTCTTTTTAAAGGTTTCATCGAGTTCTTTATGGCCCTAGAATTTCATCCTAATATTTTCATCTGTAACGAAATGACATCTTGTCAAGATCTTGGAAATAGACTATTAGTTTCAGTAGGAGTAAAAGCGGTACTCACCTCCCTTAATGAAAATACGAGTAAAAATACCTACAATTCAGAATTCTCGTATACACCTCAATAATAATAATAATAGAAAACTTCAATTTCAAGTAATTTTATTAAGGGAGCTAAGTACCGCTTTTACTCCCACTAAAACTAATAGTCTATTTCCAAGATTTTGACAAGCTGTCATTTCGTTACGGATGAAAATAATGAGACTAAATTTTAGGGCCATAAAGAACTCGATGAGACCTTTAAAAAGAGATATGACATGACCATTATCCCCTATTCAAATTTGGGGGGTGGTTCTCCCCCTAGCTAGGGGATTGAAGCTACGGGGATGAAAGAAACTGAAAAATAGTTCCCCCTCAAATCAAACATCGACGTGTCCGAGCGTTTTCCCAGATTCTCATCCCAAATCCGATAAATCGGGGTGGACTGTTTTCCCTGGGACACCCCGGGGGACACCCTGTGTATACAGGGTGTCCTTAGATAAACTGATACATTTTACAGGTGAATATCTCGAAAAGGAGAAAAGATAACGGAATGCGGTTTGTTCTGGAAGAATAAGGATTTTTTAAAGTTTTTTTTCATGGTATTGACGAATCCTGAAATTTGGATTTACAGATATTCGATTTTTTGAAATAATTACATACTGACTTATTCTTGATGAAACACCCGGTATATTTTGTCATTGTCAGGAAGCGTGACTTTTCTACTTTACAAAAATATATAATTTTTTTCAATTATCATGAAATTGAATCGTAAAAATTGCACTCAGTTAAAGAGTGTACCATCAACTAGCCAAAAAAAAAATGATAATAATTAATTTGTGTTTTATATGCACTTATTTGTATTTAATACTTGTATTATTAGTTAACTATGCACTAATTAGTTAATAAAAGTATTAAACACAAATTAATTCTCAATTTTTTTTTTGGTTAGTCGATGGTATTATCTTCGACAAAGTGCAATTTTCACGATGCAACTTCAAGATAATTGAAAAAAATTGAACATTTTTGTGAAGTAGAAAAATCAGGCTTTCTGTGTGTGGTAAAATCTGTCTTTTTGCTGATGATACTAGTTCCACTTGGAGCAACCTGGATATATCAGCTCTTCATAGAACCATGTGCAACGACGTGTTACGTCATTAAATCATGGTGCAACTCTAACATTCTCTGCTTCAGTGCTACGAAAACTAAAGTTCTGTCATATAAAAGTATGTTGCAACCTTATTGTACTTAATAAGACCAATAAGTACTGGTGACTTCATTGATTCTGTAAAATTTTTGGGCCTTATTATAGACAATTCCCTGAAATGGAGCTCGCACATCGATTATTTATCAGAAAAATTTAAGTTGTGCTTGTTTTACAATAAGATCAGTTCCCAAGGAACTTAATTTGTCAACTTTTATTAATTAAACACTTTGCCGAATTAATAATAGTCCAAGAAACGTAGATCTGAAAAGAGGGGTTACCTCAACATAATTAGAAGTCGAAATTTTTTTGGGGGGATCGGTTCATTTTAATATGCTAAACAACATATTAAGTTTGCGACCTTGTACTTCCATAGGGTTTTCAGTTAGGGGTGGTTTTTAGGGGTAATTTGCGGTTTATGGAGAACGCTGCTCAAAGGGATGGTTCAATAGTAAAAAGTTTCAAATGAATGTTGTAGCTGAAGTTTTTTGCTATAAAAAACTCAGCGACAGCACCCCTCTATCTTCTATAGTTTTTTTTCTGCAGCTTCTTGAATAGTAGCATGTTTTTGTTCGAGGTCACTGAATCAACGTTTTGCCATTTTACTCGCATTTGTTGCAGCAGCGGCCGAATGCATAATCCGATTTCAATTTTTCAAACACCACATTATTTCTAATGAAATGCCCTCTCCAATGCTTTTTTGTTCGAATTTTTTGCTTGAAAATTAAGCGAGCACTTGTCTAATGTGCGAGGAAGTTGTAAATTGCATCGAAAACTACCCCTTTCTTGCATTCACTCTAATTTCTAAACGGGGCCAAATATTTGGTGACAGTTTTCGACAATCGGCAACCCATTTATTCCTCTCATAATGCCCCAGCGGATTTTTTTTTTCGTTAATCACTTAATGACTTATTGGCCTGAAAACGTCGCGCGGGATTTTTCAAAAAGTAAAAAATAATTAAAATTGTCGCATAGGGCAGAAATTTGGTATGATGGCCTTATTTATTGTTCTTACGAATATACTGCAATTTTAATTGCTTCACATGATATAAAATTGCAGTATAATCATGAGAACAATAAATAAAGCCATCGTACCAAATTTCAGCGCTATGCGACAATTTTAATTTTTTTTTACTTTTTGAAAAATCGCGCGCGACGTTTTCAGGCCAATAAGTCATTAAATGATTAACGAAAAAAAAAATCCGCTGGGGCATTATGAGAGGAATAAATTGGCTGCCGATTGTCGAAAACTGTCACCAAATATTTGGCCCCGTTTAGAAATTAGAGTGAATGCAAGAAAGGGGTAGTTTTCGATGCAATTTACAACTTCCTCGCACATTAGACAAGTCCGTGCTCGCTTAATTTTCAAGCAAAAAATTCGAACAAAAAAGCATTGGAGAGTGCATTTCATTAGAAATAATGTGGTGTTTGAAAAATTGAAATCGGATTATGCATTCGGCCGCTGCTACAACAAATGCGCGCAAAATGGCAAAACGTTGATTCAGTGACCTTGAACAAAAACATGCTGCTATTCAAGACGCTGCAGAAAAAAAACTATAGAAGATAGAGGGGTGCTGTCGCTGAGTTTTTTTATAGCAAAAAGCTTCAGCTACAATATTAATTTGAAACTTTTTGCTATTGGACCATCCTTTTGAGCAGCGTTCTCCATAAACTGCAAATTAAGCCTAAAAACCACCCCTAACTGAAAACCCTATGGAAGTACAAGGTCGCAAACTTAATATGTTATTAAGCACATGAAAATGAACCGATCCCCCCCAAAAAATGTTAACTTCTAATTATGTTGAGGTAAACTTCCTTTATTGCTTGGACTATAAGTCTACTTTGTCTTTTTCAAATCACATCCTGTGTCCACTTGAGTTCGCAGCATATGGGAAACTTTTTTATTATCAATTTTACGAAAAAAGTTATTCTTCATAAAAGTTTATGCTTCTTGAAAAAATAATATTGAACTATTAAAACTTGACTTAGCATGTAAACGTGGGGGTCAGAAAATAGAAAAATATACAGGGTGTTTCCTAAATACGGTTCGTAACTTCAGGATGTGATTCCTTACAATATTTTAAGAAAAGAATTTCCCATAAACATGTGTCCGGTAATGCCTAATTTCTGAGACACAGGGTGTCAAAGTTTTAAAAAAAAATCGTCTTATTTATAGCTTAAAAACCCCTTTCTCGATTTTCGATAAATTTGGCAGATTTGTTTATAATAACAAAAGGTATCTTTTGACTCAATTAGATTTACCGCAAATCAGTGACGTGCCATTTTTTTTTTTAATACTTTTACCAACAAAATTGCCCTCTGGGGTGCCACTGGCATAATAATGGTAAATCTAATTGAGTCAAAATACACCTTTGTTATTACAAACAAATCTGCCAAGTTTATCGAAAATCGAGAAAGGGGTTTTGAGCTATAAATAAAAAAACGAGTAAAAAAACGATTTTTTTTTTTAAACTTTGACACCTGTATCTCAGAAATAACGTATTTCCGGACACATGTTTATCGGAACTTTTATTCTTAAAATATTATTGTAAAGAATCACATGCTGAAGTTACGAACCGTACTTAGGAAACACTCTGTATATTTTTATATTTTCTGACCACCCTGTACATGCTATTTCAAGTTTTAATAGTTAAGTATCATTTTTTCAAGAAGTAGAAACTTTTATGAAGAAACACTTTTTTTGTAAAATTGATAATAAAAAAGTTTCCCATATGCTGCAAACTTAAGTGAACACACTATACAAAGTAAATTACTTTTTTCTGA